AGCCATTCTGACTGGTGTGAGGTGGTATCTCATTGTGGTTTTGATCTCATTGTGTTTTTAATTTGCACTTACCCCAGTGACTAGTGATGCTGAGCATCTTTTCATGTGACTACTTACCATCTGTTTATCTTTGGTGAAGTCTGTTCAAATCTTTGGCTCATTTTATTTTTTATTTAAAACTTTTTTTGAGGTTTTTTTTTTTTTTAATATTTTATTTATTTATTTGACAGAGAGAGACACAGCGAGAGAGGGAACACAAGCAGGGGGAGTGGGAGAGGGAGAAGCAGGCTTCCCGCCGAGCAGGGAGCCCGATGCGGGGCTCGATCCCAGGACCCTGGGATCGTGACCTGAGCCGAAGGCAGACGCTTAACGACTGAGCCACCCAGGCGCCCCGAGGTTATTTTTTGAGTTTTGTTTTTTTTGGCTGGGTATAGTACACTTTATTGGTGATACATGATGAGGTAGGGCTCCCCTAGTCCCTCCCTTTCTTCGGGGGTCTGGGATGTAAACTGTCTAGAGGTCATGAGATTCTCAGTGTGTCAGGGGATGAGTTGGGGCAAGGACTCCCCAGCAGCTGAGGGCCTCTCTCTTCCTCTTGCTCTCCCTGGGGCTGGTTGTCCAGGGGGCTTTTACTCCTTGGAGGCCATATGGACCATAAGGTCCACCACCTGGTTGCTGTAGCCAAATTCATTGTCATACCAGGAAATGAGCTTGACATACTGGAACATGTAGACCACATAGTTGAGGTCAGTGAAGGTGTCACTGATGGTGACAGTATCCACGTTGCCAGAGTTGAAAGCAGCCCTGGTGACCAGGTGCCCAATATGACCAAATCCATTTACTCTGACATGACCATTGTGTCTCGGGGATGTGGCTGGCACTGCACCAGAAGATTCTGATGTCTGACGAATGGGTTAGGAGCAGAGAGCCTCTTTTGCTCATTTTAAAATTGGGGCATTTGTTCTTTATTGTTGAATTTTGAGAGTTCTTTATATATTTCAGGTACAAGTGCTTTGTCATATATGTGATTTCCAGATATTTTTTCCCCAGTCTATGACTTAACTTTTCTCTTTATCGGTTTTTCAGAGTAAGTTTGAAATTTTGATGAAGTTCAGTTTAGCAGTCTTTTTCTTTTATAAATTGTTTCTGGGGCAGGATCTAAGAAATCTTTTCTAACACAAAGATTTCCACCTGCATTTCCTTCCAAATATCATTCGTTTTGAATCAATTTTTTGTACAGTCATGTCAGTTCTAAACTACAAAGATCATATAAAACGAATACATTGCCAGATACCAGTTCTCTCCATAGCATAAGTTCCTTTTGAAAAGAAGTTATATTCTCATTCCCTGTGGAAATGTCACCTATTCTTTAAAGGGACAGATTTTTGTGGGTTTATTCTTTTGGAAAATATTGCAGAATAAGAGTACCATACGAATGTCAAGCTCCTTTTTACAGCAAAGGCCAAAGAGTTTGGAATGCTTATCTTTTTACAAAAGGAAAATGTATAACTTCTTTACGTTTTTAAGTACTTTGATGTAAATGAACCTCTTCGTGGTGAGCTATCCTATACAAAAAATTGCAAGGATCCTACTGTTTAAATACCCTGTTTTTTTAGATTTTATTTATTTTGGGGGGCGGAGAGAGAGAATGAACAGGGGGAAGGGGCAGAGGCAGAGGGAGAGAGAGAATCCTCAGACTCCCTGCTGAGCACAGAGCCCAACGCGGGCTCAATCTCAGGACCTTGAAATCATGACCGGAACCGAAATGACCAACTGACTGAGCCACCCAGGAGCCCCAAATATCCTGTTTCGTTTCGTTTTGTTTTGTTTTAAATTAAGATTAGTCTCATTTTTGACATCCTGTTGCACAGAAAACAACGGTGTTCACGATAAGCTGAAAGCAGACTGAAGGGTACGACTGTCACACCACACGCACGCGTACGAGAGCCCCACACTTCCTTCTAGATGCCTGTGCGCACATGACACTAGCCCAGGGAAGATCCCAGTGGCAAATCTCTGACTGTTTAGTGAAACCTTTTTTTTAAGATAAAAGTATAAAAAGAAGGAAAGAAAGAAAGATAAAAGTAGATTAAAAATTCAGGTGTTTTTTTCCCCCTACCCTGATTATCTTATATACCTTCTGGGGATGCCTCTACCCTGGAAAGTCTTAGATGCTGCTTCTCTCCCTGCATTCCCAATTGTCTCTAGGTATAGCAGATCTGTGTTTGTTTGGGAAATAAATGCCTTGTCCTGTTATAAATGGTAGAGCTGTGTTGCTTTGTGTTGTCCTCTTCCTGTCTGCTTTCTTCTAGAATTTATTTTCCCATAGTCTCATTCTTCTAAGCTCCAAACTTGAAGTTTGTAACAAATGTTTCTTAGAAGATGACACTCCTGATTATCCATAATGTAGAACCAGGAATCATAAAAGAACATAATTTTAGAGCTGTAAGGGGACTTGGAAGGTTGACTAGTCCAAATCCCTTATGAAAATCAAAAAATACAAAGGAACTGTGGTTAAATCCATAGAATGGAATACGATTCAGCAATAAAAAGGGAATGAGCTTTTTTTTTTTTTCCCTTAAAGATTGTGTTTATTTATTTGAGCAAGAGAGATGAGGGGAGAGAGGGATAAGCACACTCCACGCTGAGCAGGGAGCTGGACGCGAAGCTCCATCTCACGACCCTGAGATCATGACCTGAGTGGAAACCAAGAGTCCGAAGCTTAACTGACGGGACCACCCAGGTGCCCCAGGGAATGAGCTTTTGATAAAATGCAACAACATGGATGAATCTTGGAAGAATGATGCTGTGTGAGAGAAGCCAGACAAAAAGCACTACATACTATGTGATTTCACTTATAAAAAACCGGAAAATGCAAGCGGCAGTGATGGCAGTGGGTGCCTGTGGATGAGTGGGAAAGGATTAAGGAGGGGAGGGAAGGCAATAAGGTGAAGAGGGACATCCCTAACCATATTTCTGGGTATGACAGTCGTGATTGCGGTGATGGTTTCACAGGTAGATACAAATAGTGCACTTTACATAGGTACGGTTTACGACATCACTTATACATCAGTAAAGCCACTTAAAGAAATAAAGGAAATTAGAGGCAGTTCACCTGTGGAGTAAATAATAAATGCTTACAGTATACCAGACTCATGTGCTCTGTGCTAGGGGTTCAGAGAGAGTGAAGACGTGGCCCGTACCTTCAGGGAGCTCCCCATCTAGTGAGGTTGTTAGAAAATAAACATATCAATTAGATCCAGTATGTTAAGTGCTAAGAAACAGGCACAGACAGGGCACAGGAGGAGTCTAGAACATGGGGGCCAACGGGTGCCTCTTCAGGGGGAGGTCAGGGAAAGCCTTACGGAAGAGAGCAAGCTGAGCCGAGGCGTGGAAGAGCCTTCCCATCTGAGGGAACGTCATGGGCAAATTGGTGAGATGGCAAGTTCCAGGGAACTGCGTGTGGTTCGGCCTGACTAGAGCAGAGGACACTATAGCGAGAGAAGGGACCGCAGAGGTTGGTGGGGCCAGACGGTGAAGCTTTGGCTTCCCTGCCAGTGCTTGGGTGTCTTTGTGCTCCAGGGTTGAACTAACAGGTTGTCTAAATCCATAGTCTGTGTCACAGGGACACTGTCTCTTCCAAACACTTGGCATAAACCTACAGGTTTTCAAGGCTGGGACACTCCTATTCCTGCTTCATTCCAGCCTGGGAGTTTCTTCTGTTCCCCAGGAATGTTTCAAAGCCCAAAGGGAAGAGCTGGTTTAGGTCTGAGCAGCAGCTGGGAAACATCTGCTTGCTTCTTGGCGCTACCCCTGGAAGCACAGGCCTCTGGTGCGTTTGCATGTTGGAGGCAACCAACAGTCCAGCTGCCCCAAAGGCAGCTTTTTCCGCGAGTCCGAAATCTTGCCTTTCTTTCTGGCTGGTGGCCTTGATCCCTGAAGTCCGGTATTTCTGACGATGGCGGTCTTGTGTGCAGTGATCTGTGTCCTGTCTGGTTCTCTCCTACCCTCTGGTCCTCTGTTAACTAGTCACCACTGGATTTCTCCAGCCACGGAGTAATAGAGGTCATGGGAGAGTCCCTTATTTTATTTGTTTTTAGAGTGGTTTTCGGAGAGGACTAGGACGTTGGATCCAGAGTACGACTGTCAGACCACATTAAAAATGCAGGCAGCAGCGCAGTACGCGGATGGCTCATGTCAGCTGGACCTGTTGGTGTCACCAGAGGAGGGAAACACGGCGAGGGCCTGTCTTAATGGAATAGATGCCAAACTGCGTGGCAAGCCCTGGCTCACGTTTCTCCAGCTTCTGCCACCCTTCAGCCGGAAGAGAACAGCTCATATTGAAGCTGGAATTTAAAATGGGATTGCTGCTTAATGAGCGTTGATGTGATCTAGAGATCAAGTTGCTTGCACCTCAAAAGGAGAGTGCCCATGCTCCCAGTCAGGAGGATTGTTACTCTTACGGCAGTTGGGATCACAAGACGTGAGAAGTGTAGGTTTGGTGGTGTATTCTTTCTTGCCTTGGGGATCCTTTGGCGTCTTCTCGGGGTTGGGCCAAGAGGGCAAGTAAAGGTGCCCCCACTGATTTCCCTAACCACCTCGAGGAAAGCTGTGGCCAGCACAGATGCCTGAAATAAGTAGGTCCAGCAAAGCCCAATGTGGATTATCTTGGGTGGATCAATAGAACAGACGGTGTCAGGAGGGAAGAAGTTTTCAATGACATTGTGGAGTTTGGTTTTTCTATCTTCTCACCTGGGCTGGTGAAAATAGTCCAAGTGTGGGCTGGCCCAAGCTCTGTAGCTCTGTTTATTCTCTCCTCTTGTCCTCCCCCATGCTAGCTGCCAGCTTGACTATTAAATGGCTCAGGGCCATTTTTTTTTTTTTTTTTTTTTTTGCTGTGTCAATCCTGGAAGGTCGTCATTGTTGTGATTTAGGGCTGGTTTCCCGAATGGGTGGATGAAATGGATATCTAACTATCGATTTGTTTCCTTGCATTTCAGTCGTTCCAAGGAAGTCAAGGACGAGCATACCTCTTTAACTCAGTGTGAGTGTCTCTGGTACATCCATGGTTTGGTACAAATTTTGTCGGGTTGGGGGGAAAGCAGCACTCAGTGATAATTAAACAATGGCCCCCTGCCCCCTCTGCAAAAATAAAAACCCTGCAGGACATTACTCTCCACATTAGGTAGCCAGTTATCTTTGGGGAATTTTTCTTGGGGGGGGGCAGCATCTTTGGCTAAGAATAATACATTTACTACCCACAGTAGGCACATCAGAGGGCTGTAGGCTCATAGGGAAGATGTTGAAGTGCTTCCAAGAGCCTCATCATGGAGGCTTCATAACCAGGTCTAAGATGAGTCATCCGGGAGGAGAGGAGGTCGAACAAAAGACACGGGGATCCACTGCAGGAGCTGGGGCTGGAGGAAAAGGCCTGGGTAGTGAAGAGCCTCCCCCACTGCAGTCGCGGCCTGTAGGGCTCTCCATCACTGTTGGGCACATCCTTTGTAGCCTCTTACCTGGGAAAGGAAGGGGGGACGCTCACAGAAGTGTGATGAACTGTGAGAATGACAATCTCACATGTTAAGCTGGAAATACTACGAGGCTCGTTCATCCTTGTAATCAGGACAAGACTGTGCAGATGTCCCATTTGACATCTTCAGCTGCATTCAGTCCTCAGTAAGCTCTGAGCTGAGGACCCGTGCTCATGACTGTGGTCTTCACAGTGTGGCCATCAGTTGGTCCCCTTAGGTCACAAGATTAGAAGCATTAGTTAGAAACCTTCCAAGCAAAGTCTCAACCGTACAGACTATTTTTCATAGACTCGCTGAATCAGAACTTTCAGATCGCAAATCCATTTCAATGGAGATGTTTCCACGTGGCTACCTTTTAGGGGCTGTTACCACTTTTGGTCATAAACAACGCCCTTCTCAGTGTCGGCTTCCCTTGAGGCATCCGTGCTGTTATTTTCTTGCTGCAAGCTCAGCTTGAACGACCGAGGATGAATGTGTGACTAACTACCCTTTCTCTCTCTCTGTCCCTTGGCACAGAGTTAATGTGGGCTGCGGGCCTGCAGAAGAGCGAGTGTTGCTAACAGGACTCCATGCAGTTGCAGACATTTACTGTGAAAACTGCAAAACCACTCTGGGCTGGAAATATGTGAGTACTGAGGAGTCTGGTCGGTGCCGAGAGGACTGTGAGGGAGTAACCGAGAGCCTCGTGCTGGAAGATTGCTTTCTTATCCTGGCTTCCTGTGACCTTGTGGGATTATCTTCGTCCAGGAACAGTCAGTGGAACCCAAAGAGCCGTTCCTGGCACACCCCTGTCTACCACACTCATTCTTCCCTTTTCTCTGACAGTCCCCTTCTCCTGCTCATTCCTTTGCACCTGCCCATGAGACAGACAGATACACATCTGCTTTACAATTTAATTAATAATAATAGCAGCACATAACATTTCCTGACAACTTACTCTTTCCAAGCCTATATTATTTTATTCACTCTTCACAGCTTCCTTAGACGGTGGGTAAAGCTTCCTTACCCATCCATAAAATAAGGATGAGGAAACGGAGATTTAGGGAGGTTAATAGTATATCCGAAGTTATCTAGCCATTACATGGCCAAACCAGGATATAGGCATCCAGGAATCTCACTGCAGAGCCCATGCTCTTTGCACCAGTAAATGTCCCCAAAACATTTCTCAGGTCCAAAGCCCTGTGCTAGGCATCATCAGACATGTTAATTAATGTCGTCTGTTAGATAGATTCATGGCTGGATTCTCCCTAGTGGACATTCGTTCCTTCGCTGTTTAACTCAACAAATATTTTTAATGTCTTGATACCTAGAGTGAGCAGTCCTTCGCCAGGGTGAGAGGAGGTATAGATGATCCATGGAAATACACTTCTGTTGTTATTGCTGGTAGACATATTTATTATTGGCAGATACTTTCATGTGCTTTTTTCTGCCCAGTCATGGTGGGGATGTTGAGTCTTCCTGGCTCCGGGAGGACAATTTATTCCATGTAAAATGCCATAAATTCCCTGTCCTATCAGTTGCCCAGGGTCAGTGTGGGGCTGGCTCATATGACCTGTGGTTAGTTAACTTGTTTGTTAGCTTGGGAGAGCCCGAAGGAGTCGTCAGAACTGCCCGCAGAGTGATGATGATGTGTCAGTGTAGGTTTGTTGATTGTGAAAAACACACCACTCTATGGGACTCCAGGAATGGGGGAGGCTGTGCGTTATGTGGGAGCAGGGAGTACAGGGGAAACCTCCTTGCCTTCTGCTCCTTTTTGCTGTGAGCCTAAAACTGCTCTAAAAACATGAAGAAATCTATTTAAATAAAAAAGATGTTGAGCCAAAGAAGCCGAACATAAAAGTATGAGTCCATTTAACCGAAGTTCAAAAATGTGCGAATCTTAACTGCCGCAGGTAGAGTCTGCAGTGGGGCTGCATTGCCTTTAGATGCTCTCTTTCACATTTCCCTTGAAATGTTCAGAATTAGCAAGAAACACCCTAGATGGCATGTTTCACGATGCCAAGATGGTCACAGATCCCTATGGTTGCCCTGATTGCTTCTTGTGGGAAAAACTGGCCTTGGCTGTTCTGTTCCCCCTGTATGGCCGGTGGCCCCTCTGGGTGATCTGGGGGCCACAGTTCTGGTTTTGATTATTCAGAAATGTTCTGCCCTTCTGTTTCCCCAACCTCTTGGTCATCTTATTCCATTGAAGATGTGCAGGATTACAGACAGAAGATAAATCTGAGTTCATTGGTTTTGCTCCTCACTTCAGGTAAAATGATTCACTTCTTTGACAGAGGTTCATTAAAAGCCTTTGTGTTGGATACAAAAGTAAATGCAATCTAATGCTTGCCCTTGGGAGTGTTTACAGTCATGGTGTCAAGAAGGAAAGCTACAGGTAAACGGATAAAACAGCGTGACAGGCATAATGATATACACAGGACAGTAGGGAAACCTCAGTCTCCCAAATATATTACCTCCCATGTCCCAGGCCCGTGCTCCAATCTTTCATTCCATTATTTCTTCTGACCCTCATAGTAATCCTGTGAAGTACTTTTAATTATCCCAGTTTTGTAAATGGAAAGTTTGCGATTGTAAACGCAAGTGGTTAAGTGATGCTTCTGGGGCCAGGGTTCAGTCTGGGGTATTTCTGCAGACTCCAGATCTAGTGCTCTGTCCAGTTAGGACATTTTGCAAGTGCCCTGTGGTTTGGGGGCTGTTGAATTTTTTTTTTCTTTTGACTTTTGTTTGTTTGTTTAATAGGGATATATTCTTACTTTCCTGGTTTTCTTTTTACCTCCTCCCTATCCTAAACACACTACATGGAACAATAGGTCTTAGTCTCGAACCGCATTCCTTTGTTGTGTATACACACACACACACACACACACACGGAGCTGAGGAATAATGAAGTGTCAGGGAAATGACTGCTGAGTCCACAGCTCTTGCGTGTGTGATGTGTTTGCACATTCTCTCTCACCGCCCCTCCCCTCGCCACTTTGTGGAATGATTCCTCTCTCAACAAGAGGCTCAAGTGTGAGCTCTTATTAGGAGACTCAGTTCCCCAGAGCTCTAGGAACAGAAGATACAGTTCATACAAATGCTGCCCAGAACCTACAAGCAGGAGGGTTGAGTTACTAAGTCGGAAGACTTGGGAAAAGAGCTGATGTCCACAGCTTGTGCTCATTGAGCTCAGCCACCTAATGACTGTGATGACCAGGGCTTTTCATATAGACACCAAGATGTTTTTATACATCTGTGCCTGGGAAGAAGATATCCCTTTGAGCCTGTACCTATGCAGGGCTTTTTTTTTTTTTCTTTTTCTTTCTTTTTTCTTTTTTCTTTCCTGTGGGGCTTATTAGCCTGCAAGCCCACCCACAGTGTTTGTTGTACATTTAGGATGGTAAATTGCCAGGTGGTTTCTGTTGCATTTTCTCTCTGGAGGCCTGGCAACTGGGTGGGGCGTGAGGGCTGCCAGGTTCTTCAGCCTAGAGTTCATGTAGCTCCTTACTCCCTGGAGAAAGGCGGTGAAGGAAAAACAGACTTAACACACCTGACATAGAAACAGCAAGATAAACGAGAGAGAGACCTATTTGGCCTCCCAATACTTTGTTCTCTCCCTGAGTGTCTTTTCTCTAAGTGTAACAGTACAGTTGAGGATTATGACATAGAAACTTCATGGATACATCCATAGAGCACATTTCTGGTTAGCATCTGAAACCAAGTTCCTCTCAGATTTTACACACGCTCGCGCTCACACACATATTCACACATTCACTCAGCAGTTATTTATTGAAGACCTCTTATCTGGCAAGCAGTCTTCTAGGCACGAGGGATACCGCAGTGAACAAAATAGATGAAAACCTCTGCCTGCCATGAAATTTGTGTCGTCCTGGTGAGAGACAATAGGTACAGTAGATGTGCAGGTTGTACTGTGTGTTTGAAAACGATAAGTGCCGTGGAGAAGAATGAAGCAGGGAGAGGGGCGGGGAGGGCGTTCTGGGGTGGAAGTTGTGCTTTTAAAGTAGAACAGTGGGGAAAGACCTTACTAAGGTGGTGACGTTTGGGCAAAGCCTTAAATGAGCAGAGATCCTGAAGAAATTCTATTGTAAATATTGAGAAAAAATGTTTAGAATATTTAAATTGCAAAATACTGAGACCCGGTTGTAAATATCGAGAGAGCCCCGGGGCTGTCTCGGAGCTGGAGCTCAGTGAAGGGGGCGTGGCGTGTCTGAGTGGCGGGAATTCTCTCAGTCTGGGCCAGGCTGGTCCTGTATGCTTCTGTGCTACAAGTCACCTACTTGTCTTTGGTCATTTGGTGTCTTTTCTCTTCCTTTGTGTCTCCTAGGAACATGCCTTTGAAAGCAGCCAGAAATATAAAGAAGGCAAATACATCATTGAGCTAGCACACATGATCAAGGACAATGGCTGGGACTGATCGGAGGGTATCCACCTAACCCAGTGTCCACGTGAACACCATCCAACCGAACATTCTACCCAAGCGTGAGAGAGTGACTGAACACTTGGTTCCATCCATTTAGGGGCCTTGCCATCTGGGGCATTCTCCCACCCTGACGCCGTCTTTCTGGTGACCGGCCTCTAAATCGCTGTCTCTCTGTCTCTTTGCTTTGTATCTGTTTGTGAGTTGATCCTGGCTTCTCTCTCTGTTCTAGTGTTGGCTGAAAACACAACAACGAAAGGAACAGATGCCTGACCGCATGGCGGCAACCCACCTTGGTAAGGGCCCTAGGGCCCATGTAAGAGCTGCCTGGTGGCCTCTTGTCAGGAGAGCAGTGGTACAGCATGGGGGTGTGAGGAAGAGAGGAAGGGGGAGCCTTGAGGGGCCCAGGGGTGGGCAGGGGATGGGCCGTTAGAGGTAGGAACAAAATTGTGCTGCTCCCGGGGTCCCGGTAACTTAGGCTTGAAATAATCGACTTGTCTAAAAGGACAAAGAGAAAAAAAAAAATACCTCATGACTGCATTCTCTCTGATCAGAAGCTTCTGTTCCCGACACCAACTGTGCCAGGTTTGCATGTGAGCGCAAGAACTGGCCCTAACTCTAGGGGCGCAGGGGCCTGGTTCTCCTGGGTTGAGTTGGGGGTGTCATGGAGGCAGAGAGTGAGAAGCCCAGGTGGTTTTGATAACTCTGATGCCTCACTGCTCCCTCGGGTTATCTTTGCCTCTTCAGCCGCCGTAGGTGAGAAGAGGGGGACTGCCATTTGCAATGGGTGCAAGATCCAAACATCCCAAAGGCTTTGGCCACCAACCAACTAAAATCAGTAATGGAGGAGGACAGGGAACAAAGGGGGGCGGTAGTTTGGGAGCTCCTGCAGAAATGGCTCAGATACTGGGCCAGAAAAAATAAAAAGTAGAACCAGTTAGCAATTCTGACTGTCTAACCTTTTTTCCTGACCCTTAGTAAGAGAAGAGCCTTGTGGCAAGGAAGGGGGTGGGGTGGGGCAATGCTGGGAATAGCTTAGATTTGAACCATTACAGGTTAGTGCATCTTTCCCCTTTGGTATGCAAAGGCTTCAGTGAGATCAGCAATTCTTTGTACATAGAGTTTTGGGTGTTTTTCTCCAGTTCTATCAAAGTCCCAAGACTTTGAGCTTAGTGATAACCTGGCCAGTAGATTCCTCATGCCGCTAGCTACTCTCCTTGGACTTGAATGCTTTGTGTGGAGAGAAATTGTCAGAGTGGTCCAGCAGTGGGGAGGGCCTAGGTATGATATCCAACATCAAGTTACAAATTCCAGTATTAGCCCCTGCCTCCCATCTATCTCGCACACCAAACCAAAGTTCATTATATTAGGGAAACAGAGAAAAGATCCTTAATAAGGCTTATGAGAGAAAGGAGTTTGTTAGTTAACCAACACTGTGAAGTGTATTCTACCAGCAGGTAAGCCAGTACACGGTGCACGACCGAAACTCGTTTAACCGAGTTAATTTTATTGCTTAGACCGAAAATGTAATTAATGTTAAGATATGTGCAGGTTATGTTAGGTAATTCTCAGCATCTCATTTCTCTAAGTAGGCTGATCCTATAGGAAATTTTCCTATAGGGAAATTCACCTTAAAAGTCACAGAAGAGTGAGTTCGTAGAGGCAAGAATCTGTAAAATTGATTCATCAGGATTCAAGCAGCCAACCAGGGACATTTCCAGAATTCAGACAAATTCCCGTAGGGAGTGAGTCCATGGTGGAAATGCCTTTTCATGTCTCTGTGGGCTGATTGCAGAAGGGGGGACCTGAGCTAGGCGCGGCCCTGCCCTGGAGGGTGACGGATGGCAGGACTGACAGGAAGCTGGGTGGCTCCAGGTAGACTGCTTCTGTGACACAAAAGGATTCTTAGAAATTGAATCTTGTTCCCAGAGGCTTTTTACCCACATTTTTTGGTACTTTAGCAACCCTGGGAGATTAAGTGCTCCCCACATTACTAAAAAGCAGACTGAAGTTCAGAAGAAGTATTTCATTTCCCCTCCCAGAGAAAGAGCTCTTCTGGCTCCCAGGGCCAAGATCTCAATAAAAAGCATTTTCAACTTTCACATTCCTAAGCTGGCTTACCAGCACAAAAGTCATAGATCCTCCTTTCTGTCTGCCCTGAAGGTAGTGGCCTTCACTTAGAGATTTTGATTAGCCCCTTTGCTCAGGGAATGTCCTGGCTGTTGATACTCCTTTCCATAGAAAGAAAATGGGGGTTAAGCACGGGTAGGTGTTTTGTCTTTGAGACTGAAAATGGAGTGTGGTGACATAGATACCAGATACGGGGTGCCCTAGAATTTTCAAGGGGCAGAGGAGACTGATGTGCCACTGTTCTTCCTTGGGGATGAGGCCTCTGACTGTTGCATGGATCAGAGTAGGCTCCAGTTAGACCCAGGTTCTGGTTTTTTTTTCTTCTTCTTTTTTTTTTTTTTTCCAGTTCTTACCCATTGAGCATCCAGTGGGTGCGTGGCACCATACTTGGTGCGAAAGATCCAAGTAGAATGTTGGTTTTTCCATAACTACAGGGGAAAAAAAAACAACTCACTAGGCTTTCCCTCTGTGTCAATGAAACCAAAAGTGCTTCTTATAACTTTAGCTCCATTCATGGCTTGTCTACCTAACGTCTAGCAGTATTGGAGAGACCACAGCTGAGTGATGGAGACGCATCAACTCATGGCCTCAGTCAGTTCATTCTTTAATTTCCTCACCAAATTATTGACTCAGAGCATAACCAAAGACCTCATCCATTCACCCCTGGCGGGTTCAGGGAATTGGAGTTTGACTGTAAAGCCTAGGCAGGGCGCAGGGAGTAGGGCAGGGGAAAGTGCGAAGTGAGAAAGGCAAAGGCGTGAAGTTCTGTACCTCAGCCAGCAGCTGCCTTCATTTGCAACTGAAGTCCAGCTGGCAGACTCTCTAGGTCCATCTTCCCTGTGCTGTCCTAGGTCATGTGGCCTCGGTGGCCCTGGATTACACCCAGACCCCAGGATGTTAGTCTCAGGCTGCTGACGGGTTGATTTGACATGAATCAAATACAGCCAGACTTGATGCCCACAGATTGTCAACTGGGCCCGACTGAGTGCTGCCCCAACTCCGAGACAGCAAGATCATGGAGATAGGATAGAGTAAATCTTGACTGGTGGGTCAGTGTGTGAAAAAGAGGTGTCCCCTTTATAAAAAGATTTTCAAGTGGATATATATATGAAAAAAAAAAGTTGCTTGTGAAATATACTTTTGTAAATAATATTTAATTTTTTAAATAATATATTTGGTGCTGTTTTCTCAGATCCCCTGAGAGCACTTTTTATTTTCATTTTTAAATTCTATGGTTTCCTCTGCATTTCTTGAAGTATATTTTAAGGGAAACAGTGATCACCAATATACTCTTTTAAAAATAAAAAAGATCTGTATCACTTTAGTCTGGACAGAGGCAATGCCTCTCTGCATTTTTTTTCCAGATGGAGCAGACTCTGCCGTACATTACCAGGTTGAGAATTGAAATATTTTCTTGCACCAATATTGGCTAGAAAAGAAAATAAATAAAATCAGATTTAGTAACAGCTTAGTGATTCCTCTTGTTGGAAGAATTTCCAACAAATTGGAATCTTGTTTTTAATGCGTGTGTGTGTGTGTGTGTGTGTGTGTAAAAAGCACTTTGGACTGTGCCTCCTGTTTTCTTTTTTATTGGGGACACTATACCTACAGTTTACACCTTGGGCACATAAGGCTTTCTTCTCTTTCTCTCTGCTTGTTTTGGACCAACAGCACAAACCATGAAGATTTTGTTTTTCTGAGCATGGAGCTGTTGCCACTTTGCTCCTTTTTCTTTGTGTGCTCAACTTTCCCAGATAGTAAAGGAAATCTGTTGTTTGTGAAGATCAAGCAGAGTCAGGTCTATGTGTTTCTAACTGAGATGTGAGTGTACTCCTTATGTACCCCAGGGTTCCAGTGGTTGTAGAAGCCACATTGTTAACTGGTTTGGGTTGAAAGAACATCAGTAAAATAATACACATACCTTGTAGGTAAACAGTTTATTTTAAGGTCAAATTGCCTCAGGTTCAGGAAGAGGCTGGGAAATAAAATCTTGAACACAATCAACTTACATATTTTAACAAAGAGTCTGCCTCAAATGAGAAAACAAGCTAGTGGTCAAGGTAGAGGAAAGAGATGTTTCATTTTCTTAAGCAAAATACAGTCATGAAATCTGCCAGCAGTGAAAGGTAAAGCCAAGAAGAAACAAGCTATTCCCATCACCAAATTTGATCTGCCTGTATATTTTTATATAACATTTTGGTGAAAGTGAGAGTCGGTTCCCTTTTCCAACCTGCAGAGACGATCTTTCAATACGGAATCTCTATTTATGCTTGTGTTTACAAACTGTATTTGTTGGGTTTGGGTTTTGTTATTTTCCCTATCTTTTTTTTTTTTTTTGGTGGCATTTTTCAGGTCACTTTGCTTCAATAACAAAGATAATTATTTTCAAATAATTTGTCTTCACCTTTTCCTGTATTTGTACATAGTGATTCAGTATTAGAGAAAAGTGCATTGTTTCTGTCATATTTCCAATCTGTGTTGGTGCTCATTTGAGAAAATAAAGTTTTCAAATATTCTTTGGAGGGCTCATCTGTCTTAATTGACCCAGCATGTTTTTAACTTGACTTTTAACATTGAAAGTAACTGAAAAGCCTGTAGGAGGTCATCTAACCCCATTCACAGAGCTCTCAACTGAGACCCTGCGGGGTTGTTTGTTCCAAGGACAGTTGGCCAATTAATGAATAAAAATCAGGTCTCCTGTTTATCTGCAAATGCTGCTCTTATCTCTAGATATCAGAAATGCCTGAGTGACCTTTAGGATTTTTGTCTCCTAAACCCCATATTCTTAAAACTCGCAAACTTTTCTGTTTATGCCAATTTCTTTGGGGGAAATTGGATTGCATTAAGTGAAGAGATAAAAGAAATGTAAAACAACAAAACTAGGTCACAAAGAGGCAGCATTATCTCTGAATAACTGGCTAACAAAGGAGGAAAGAAGTATTCACAGTTACAGTATATGGAAAATCAAGTCTTCTCACTCACTGAACAAATATTTATTAAACATCTGTTAGGTTCTAGACACTGGGTGAGGCAGTTGGACTGTTCTAGTAAATCAGCTGCTTTTCTTTTCCTCCAGTATCTTCCATATGCATAGCCTTGCACAGCCAGTCAGCGTACAGAGTTTTGTTTGCTGGTGCCTTCATTTAACAGACGAAGTATTTTTGCC